ACAGCTGCTGCAGCTACAACTACTGCTACTACAGCTGCTACTACAGCTGCTGCAGCTACAACTACTGCTACAGCTACTGCTACTACTACAGCTACTACTACAGATACTACTGCTACTACAGCTGCTGCTACAGCTGCTACTACAGCTACTACTACAGCTGCTACTACAGCTGCTGCTACAGCTGCTACTACAGCTGCTGCTACTACTACAGCTGCTACTACTGCTACTACTACAGCTGCTGCTACAGCTGCTGCTACAGCTGCTACTACAGCTGCTGCTACTACTACTGCTACTGCAGCTGCTACAACAGCTGCTGCAGCTACAACTACTGCGACAGCTACTACTACAGCTACTACTACAGCTACTACTACAGCTACTACTACTACTACAGCTACTACTGCTGCTACTGCTACTACAGCTGCTGCTACTACTACAGCTACTACTACAGCTGCTGCTACAGCTGCTGCTACTACTACTGCTACTGCAGCTGCTACAACAGCTGCTGCAGCTACAACTACTGCGACAGCTACTTCTACAGCTACTGCTACAGCTACTACTACAGCTACTACTACTACTGCTGCTACTACTACTACAGCTACTACTGCTGCTACTGCTACTACAGCTGCTGCTACAGCTGCTACTACAGCTGCTACAACAGCTGCTGCAGCTACAACTACTGCTACAGCTACTTCTACAGCTACTACTATAGCTACTACTACAGCTACTACTACTATTGCTGCTACTACTACAGCTACTACTGCTGCTACTGCTACTACAGCTGCTACTACAGCTGCTGCTACAGCTACTACTACAGCTACTACTACTATTGCTGCTACTACTACAGCTACTACTGCTGCTACTGCTACTACAGCTGCTACTACAGCTGCTGCTACAGCTACTACTACAGCTACTACTACAGCTGCTATTACAGCTGCTGCTATTACAGCTGCTGCTACAGCTGCTACTACAGCTACTACTACAGCTGCTGCTACAGCTGCTGCTACAGCTGCTGCTACAGCTGCTACTACTGCTACTACTACAGCTGCTGCTACAGCTGCTACTACAGCCGCTACTACTACTGCTACTACAGCTGCTACTACTGCTACTACTACAGCTGCTACTACTACAGCTACTACTACAGCTGCTACTACTACAGCTACTACAGCTACTACAGCTACTACTGCTGCTACTACTGCTGCTACTACAGCTGCTACTACTGCTACTACTACAGCCGCTACTACTACAGCTACTACAGCTGCTACTGCTGCTACAGCTGCTACTACTACAGCTACTACCGTTACTACAGCTGCTACTACAGCTGCTACTACAGCTACTACAGCTGCTACTACAGCTACTACAGCTGACACTACCACTGCTACTACAGCTGCTGCTACTCCTACTACTCCAGCTGCTACTACTACAGCCGCTACTACAGCTGCTACTGCTGCTACAGCTGCTACTACTACAGCTGCTACTACTACTGCTGCTACTACAGCTGCTACTACTGCTGCTACTACAGCCGCTACTACAGCTACTACTACAGCTGCTACTACAGCTGCTACTACTGCTACTACAGCTGCTACTGCTACTACTACTGCTACTACTACAACCGCTGCTACTACTGCTACTACAGCTGCTACTACAGCTACTACTACTACTGCTACTACAGCCGCTGCTACAGCTGCTACTACTACTGCTACTGCAGCTGCTACTACAGCTACTGCTGCTACAGCTGCTACTACAGCTGCTGCTACAGCTACTACTACAGCTACTACTACAGCTGCTACTACTGCTACTACTACAGCTGCTACTGCTGCTACTACTGCTGCTACAGCTGCTGCTACTACAGCTACTACTACTGCTACTACTACTGCTGCTACTACTACTACTACAGCTGCTACTACAGCCGCTACTACAGCTACTACAGCTACTGCTACTACAGCTGCTACTACTACTACAGCTACTGCTACTACAGCTGCTACTGCTACTACTACTGCTGCTACTACAGCTGCTACTACTACAGCTGCTACTACTACTGCTGCTGCTACTACTACAGCTACTACTACTACTGCTGCTACTACTACAGCTACTACTACTACTGCTGCTACTACTACTACAGCTACTACTACTACAGCTGCTACTACTACTACAGCTACTACTACTACAGCTGCTACTACAGCCGCTACTACAGCTACTACAGCTACTGCTACTGCTGCTACAGCTGCCATTCAACGCGCGTGCGGTTTTCGTCGAGGACCGCGTGTACAAGAGGCGACGTTCCGGGCAATGGGCCTTGCTCACGACCACGTGCGTGTGTGCTATGGGGGAAGAGAGGGAGAGGTGGATGGAGGTCGAGGAGGGGGCAAGGGGTGTTGCCCGGAACGTCGACTCCAGTGTGCCTAATTAATTATTACAGCCAACCGAAGCTTCGGTTAACGTCTAAGGAGGCCGTCCATAAATGACGTCACGCGATTTTTTGACGAATTTTGACCCCCCCCCCCCATTCGTCGCATGACGTCACAAAAAGTCAGACCCCCCCCCTCAAATATGACGTCACAAAAAGTCAGACCACCCCCCCCTCAAATATGACGTCACAAAAAGTCAGACCCCCCCCCTCAAATGAGACGTCACAAAAAGTCAGACCACCCCCCCCTCAAATATGACGTCACAAAAAGTCAGACCCCCCCTCAAATATGACGTCAGAAAAAGTCAGACCCCCCCAAATATGACGTCACAAAAAGTTAGACACCCCCCTCAAATATGACGTCACAAAAAGTCCGACCCTCCCCCCCTCAAATATGACGTCACAAAAAGACAGACACCCCCCCCCACTCAAATGTGACGTCACAAAAAGTCAGACCACCCCCCCTCAAATATGACGTCACAAAAAGTCAGACCCCCCGCCTCAAATATGACCTCACAAAGTCAGAGCCTTCGCCCCCCTCAAATATGACGTCACAAAAAGTCAGACCCCCCTCAAATATGACGTCACAAAAAGTCAGAACCTTCTCCCCCCACTCAAATATGACGTCACAAAAAGTCAGACCCCCCTCAAATATGACGTCACAAAGCTCTGCCCCTCCCCCCAAAAATAAAACACGGTTCAAATCGCCTTAAAGTATTAAAGTCACATTGTAGTGTGGCGTATTTAATGTGGCGCTTACACTCTGACGTTGCAGGAGAAAACAATTATTAACAAGTCTATTTAATTAAGCAGAACGTGTTGTCGTCATTTATAAAGTTGCGCACTTTGATGTGACGTCAGATTTCTCACCCCCTCCCCCCCCCCACCTCGTCACACATCGTCACAAATGTCTGACACCCCCTCCCCCCCTCCCCCAGGTGCGTGACGTCATTTATGGACGGCCCCATATACATTGACCGAAGCTTGTGAATACACAACAATAACAACCGCCATTCGCCAACTAAGTGGAGGTGACGTCACCACGACGCTTGTGCCAGGCTATGTGCACCTTGAGGCTACCACGTGAAGTGTCGAGCGCCCGCTGGCAGGAGGTCACGGGGCAGACCCAGCAGGTGCCACGGGTCGACTGACTGAGATGACTGAGATGACTGGCTGATGCACCACCTGTGCCCCCTACTGTGCCAACCTGCTGTGCTTTAGCCACCCGGCGCTCCGCTCGTTGTTGTGAGCGTCGCTCCTCCGCCCTCCGTTGTTGTTGGAGGGCGACTGCCTCCAACTGCCCAGTAGCAGCGTCCTTCACGAGCCTCCTCCACAGAGGCCGATCTTGACACCGCTGGTACCGGTCATCGGCAAGTCCACTCAGCTCCACGTCCTCCTGTATCACATCACTCCATCTCTTCTCTAGCCCGTGCCGCGCCCGTTTAGCCCCCTCAATCCGGCCGAACAAAAGATGTTTCGGCACGCGGTGGCTGGGCATGCAGGCTACATGACCCAGCCATTGCAGCCTTGCCCGCCGGAGGAGCTCACCGATGGGACCTTGCCCAGACCTTTCAAGGATTTGTGAGCTCCTCACACAATCCAGCCTGGTTAAACCCAGGATGGATCGTAGGCAGGCCAGCCTAAATGTTTCTAACCGGCGAAGATGTTCCATTAGGGGGGGTCCACGTTTCGCAAGCGTAGAGAAGGGAGGGAATGACCGTGGCCGAGAAGACCTGAAGCTTAGTGCGGAGCGACAGACCAGGTAGCTTCCACACAGCGTTACGCAACCGATGAAAAGATATTGCCGCTCGACTGATTCGGAGTGAGACCTCTGCTGTTAAACTGGAGCCGGTCATAAGCACACTGCCCAGGTATGGGAAACTCTCCACTCTCTCCACAACTGCCCCATCACCGATTGGGAGTTGTGGGGGTGGAGTGTCCGATGGTACAAAATAGTCAGGCACCAACGCCACCACCATCACCACCACCACTACCACCACCTTCACTACCACCACCACCACCACTACCATCTCCACCACCACCTTCACTACCACCACCACCACCACCACTACCATCTCCACCACCACTACCACCACCACCACTACCATCTCCACCACCACCTCCTCCACTACCATCTCCACCACCACCACCTCCTCCTCCACTACCATCACCACCACCTCCTCCTCCACTACCATCACCACCTCCACCACTACCACCACCGTCACCACCACCGTCACTACCACCACCACCACCACCACCATCTCCACCATCTCCACCACCACCACTACCATCTCCACCACCTCCACCACCACCACCACCGTCACCACCACCACCTCCACCACCACCGTCACCACCACCACCACTACCATCTCCACCACCTCCACCACCACCACCGTCACCACCACCACCTCCACTACCACCGTCACCACCACCACCACCACCACCATCTCCACCATCTCCACCACCACCACTACCATCTCCACCACCTCCACCACCACCACCGTCACCACCACCACCTCCACCACCGTCACCACCACCACCACCACCACCTCCACCACTACCACCACAACAACCACCTCCACCACTACCACCACCGTCACCACAACCACCACAACCACCGTCACCACCACCACCACCGTCACCACCACCTCCACCGCCACTTCAGATGACGGTCGACATCGACACGACCTCCGAGCGACTGTTTTCAACCCCACCGGTGACATTCACCCCATCCTCCACCTCCGTCGCACCACCACCACCACCACCACCACCTCCACCACCACCACCACGACCACCACCACCTCCACCACCACCACCACCACCGCCGCGTCTCAAGACCCTCTTGATGAGCGGCGATCCGAGCAGTAGCCTCCGGCACTGCAGCCGGAAGGCTCCGTCACAGAAGGCGTAGAGGAACGGGTTGAGGCAGCTGTTGAGGTAGCCCAGGCAGACCGCGTAGGGGTTCGCGTAGGCCAGCAAGCGGTCGAAGGCGCAGATGTCGGGCAGCCAGCCGAGCCAGCGGAAGGCGTCGAGGGTGCGCACCACGTGGAAGGGCAGCCAGCAGGCCGTGAAGGCCGCCACGAGGCACGCGATGGTGCGGAGGAGCTGCCGACGGACGCGCTGCTGGTGACGCACGCGTCTGGGTAGGGGGTTGGGTTGGAGTGGTGGTGGTGTGTGGGTGGGTGGTGTGTGGTGTGTGGGTGGGGAGATGATGACATGGGGTGAGACACGGGGAGATAGCAGGAGACACGGGGAGATGACACGGGGTGAGACATGGGGAGACATGGGGAGAGACACGGGGAGAGACACGGAGAGAGACACGGAGAGACACAGGGTGAGACACGGGGAGACACGGGGAGAGACACGGGGTGAGACACGGGGAGACACGGGGTGAGACACGGGGTGAGACATGGGGAGACACGGGGTGAGACACGGGGGGAGACACGGGGAGACACGGGGTGAGACACGGGGGGAGACACGGGGAGACACGGGGAGAGACACGGGGTGAGACACGGGGAGATGACACGGGGAGAGACACGGGGTGAGACATGGGGAGACACGGGGTGAGACACGGGGTGAGACACGTGGAGACACGGGGAGATGACACGGGGAGAGACACGGGGTGAGACACGGGGTGAGACACGGAGTGAGACATGGGGAGACACGGGGTGAGACACGGGGGGAGACACGGGGTGAGACACGGGGACACACGGGGTGAGACACGGTGAGATGACACGGGGTGAGACACGGGGTGAGACACGGGGTGAGACACGGGGGGAGACACGGGGAGACACGGGGGGAGACACGGGGTGAGACACGGGGTGATACACGGGGAGACACGGGGTGAGACACGGGGAGATGACACGGGGTGAGACATGGGGAGACATGGGGAGACACGGGGAGAGACACGGGGAGACACGGGGTGAGACACGGGGTGAGACACGGGGAGACACGGGGAGAGACACGGGGAGACACGGGGTGAGACACGGGGTGAGACACGGGGAGAGAGGGGGTGAGACACGGGGGGAGACACGGGGAGACACGGGGAGATGACACGGGGTGAGACACGGGGGGAGACCCGGGGAGAGACCCGGGGAGAGACACGGGGTGAGACACGGGGAGACATGGGGAGAGACATGGGGAGACATGGGGAGACATGGGGAGAGACACGGGGAGACACGGGGAGATGACACGGGGTGAGACACGGGGTGAGACACGGGGAGACACTGGGGGAGACACGGGGTGAGACACGGGGAGACACGGGGTGAGACACGGGGTGAGACATGGGGAGACACAGGGGGAGACACGGGGTGAGACACGGGGAGACACGGGGGGAGACACGGGGGGAGACACGGGGAGACACGGGGAGACACACGGGGTGAGACACGGGGAGATGACACGGGGAGAGACACGGGGTGAGACATGGGGAGACACGGGGTGAGACACGGGGTGAGACACGGGGTGAGACACGGGGAGACACGGGGAGATGACACGGGGAGAGACACTGGGGGAGACACGGGGTGAGACACGGAGTGAGACATGGGGAGACACGGGGTGAGACACGGGGGGAGACACGGGGTGAGACACGGGGACACACGGGGTGAGACACGGTGAGATGACACGGGGTGAGACACGGGGTGAGACACGGGGTGAGACACGGGGTGAGACACGGGGAGACACGGGGGGAGACACGGGGTGAGACACGGGGTGAGACACGGGGAGACACGGGGTGAGACACGGGGAGATGACACGGGGTGAGACATGGGGAGACATGGGGAGACACGGGGAGACACGGGGAGACACGGGGTGAGACACGGGGTGAGACAGGGAGACACGGGGAGACACGGGGTGAGACACGGGGTGAGACACGGGGAGACACGGGGTGAGACACTGGGGGAGACACTGGGGGAGACACGGGGTGAGACACGGGGTGAGACACGGGGGAAGACACGGGGAGAGACACGGGGTGAGACACGGGGTGAGACACGGGGTGAGACACGGGGAGACACGGGAGATGACACGGGGAGACACGGGGTGAGACACGGGGTGAGACACGGGGAGACACGGGGTGAGACACGGGGTGAGACACGGGGAGATGACACGGGGTGAGACACGGGGTGAGACACGGGGTGAGACACGGGGTGAGACACGGGGAGATGACACGGGGAGAGACACGGGGTGAGACACGGGGTGAAACACGGGGAGACACGGGGTGAGACACGGGGTGAGACATGGGGAGACATGGGGTGAGACACGGGGAGAGACACGGGGTGAGACACGGGGTGAGACACGGGGTGAGACACGGGGAGAGACACGGGGTGAGACTTGGGGAGACATGGGGAGACACGGGGAGAGACACGGGGAGACACGGGGTGAGACACGGGGTGAGACACGAGGAGACACGGGGAGAGACACGGGGAGATGACACGGGGTGAGACATGGGGAGACATGGGGAGACACGGGGAGAGACACGGGGAGACACGGGGTGAGACACGGGGTGAGACACGAGGAGACACGGGGAGAGACACGGGGAGACACGGGGTGAGACACGGGGTGAGACATGGGGAGAGACACGGGGAGACACTGGGTGAGACACGGGGTGAGACACGGGGAGAGACACGGGGTGAGACACGGGGTGAGACACGTGGAGAGGCACGGGGTGAGACACGGGGAGATGACACGGGGTGAGACACGGGGTGAGACACGGGGAGACACGGGGAGAGACACGGGGTGAGACACGGGGAGACACGGGGTGAGACACGGGGTGAGACATGGGGAGACACGGGGTGAGACACGGGGGGAGACACGGGGAGACACGGGGTGAGACACGGGGGGAGACACGGGGAGACACGGGGAGAGACACGGGGTGAGACACGGGGAGATGACACGGGGAGAGACACGGGGTGAGACATGGGGAGACACGGGGTGAGACACGGGGTGAGACACGTGGAGACACGGGGAGATGACACGGGGAGAGACACGGGGTGAGACACGGGGTGAGACACGGAGTGAGACATGGGGAGACACGGGGTGAGACACGGGGGGAGACACGGGGTGAGACACGGGGACACACGGGGTGAGACACGGTGAGATGACACGGGGTGAGACACGGGGTGAGACACGGGGTGAGACACGGGGGGAGACACGGGGAGACACGGGGGGAGACACGGGGTGAGACACGGGGTGAGACACGGGGAGACACGGGGTGAGACACGGGGAGATGACACGGGGTGAGACATGGGGAGACATGGGGAGACACGGGGAGAGACACGGGGAGACACGGGGTGAGACACGGGGTGAGACACGGGGAGACACGGGGCGAGACACGGGGAGACACGGGGTGAGACACGGGGTGAGACACGGGGAGACATGGGGTGAGACACGGGGGGAGACACGGGGAGACACGGGGAGATGACACGGGGTGAGACACGGGGGGAGACACGGGGGGAGACACGGGGAGAGACACGGGGTGAGACACGGGGAGACATGGGGAGAGACATGGGGAGACATGGGGAGACATGGGGAGAGACACGGGGAGACACGGGGAGATGACACGGGGTGAGACACGGGGTGAGACACGGGGAGACACGGGGAGAGACACGGGGTGAGACACGGGGAGACACGGGGTGAGACACGGGGTGAGACATGGGGAGACACGGGGTGAGACACGGGGGGAGACACGGGGAGACACGGGGTGAGACACGGGGGGAGACACGGGGAGACACGGGGAGAGACACGGGGTGAGACACGGGGAGATGACACGGGGAGAGACACGGGGTGAGACATGGGGAGACACGGGGTGAGACACGGGGTGAGACACGGGGTGAGACACGTGGAGACACGGGGAGATGACACGGGGAGAGACACGGGGTGAGACACGGGGTGAGACACGGAGTGAGACAGGGGGAGACACGGGGTGAGACACGGGGGGAGACACGGGGTGAGACACGGGGACACACGGGGTGAGACACGGTGAGATGACACGGGGTGAGACACGGGGTGAGACACGGGGTGAGACACGGGGTGAGACACGGGGAGACACAGGGGGAGACACGGGGTGAGACACGGGGTGAGACACGGGGAGACACGGGGTGAGACACGGGGAGATGACACGGGGTGAGACATGGGGAGACATGGGGAGACACGGGGAGAGACACGGGGAGACACGGGGTGAGACACGGGGTGAGACACGAGGAGACACGGGGAGAGACACGGGGAGACACGGGGTGAGACACGGGGTAAGACACGGGGAGACATGGGGTGAGACACGGGGGGAGACACGGGGAGACACGGGGAGATGACACGGGGTGAGACACGGGGGGAGACACGGGGAGAGACACGGGGAGAGACACGGGGTGAGACACGGGGTGAGACACGGGGAGACACGGGGAGATGACACGGGGAGACACGGGGTGAGACACGGGGTGAGACACGGGGAGACACGGGGTGAGACACGGGGTGAGACACGGGGAGATGACACGGGGTGAGACACGGGGTGAGACACGGGGAGAGACACGGGGTGAGACACGGGGAGATGACACGGGGAGAGACACGGGGTGAGACACGGGGTGAAACACGGGGAGACACGGGGTGAGACACGGGGTGAGACATGGGGAGACATGGGGTGAGACACGGGGAGAGACACGGGGTGAGACACGGGGTGAGACACGGGGTGAGACACGGGGAGAGACACGGGGTGAGACATGGGGAGACATGGGGAGACAGGGGGAGAGACACGGGGAGACACGGGGTGAGACACGGGGTGAGACACGAGGAGACACGGGGAGAGACACGGGGAGATGACACGGGGTGAGACATGGGGAGACATGGGGAGACACGGGGAGAGACACGGGGAGACACGGGGTGAGACACGGGGTGAGACACGGGGAGACACGGGGAGAGACACGGGGAGACACGGGGTGAGACACGGGGTGAGACATGGGGAGAGACACGGGGAGACACGGGGTGAGACACGGGGTGAGACACGGGGAGAGACACGGGGTGAGACACGGGGTGAGACACGTGGAGAGGCACGGGGTGAGACACGGGGAGATGACACGGGGTGAGACACGGGGTGAAACACGGGGAGACACGGGGTGAGACACGGGGTGAGACATGGGGAGACATGGGGTGAGACACGGGGAGAGACACGGGGTGAGACACGGGGTGAGACACGGGGTGAGACACGGGGAGAGACACGGGGTGAGACATGGGGAGACATGGGGAGACATGGGGAGACACGGGGAGAGACACGGGGAGACACGGGGTGAGACACGGGGTGAGACACGAGGAGACACGGGGAGAGACACGGGGTGAGACATGGGGAGACATGGGGAGACACGGGGTGAGACATGGGGAGACATGGGGAGACATGGGGAGACACGGGGAGAGACACGGGGAGACACGGGGTGAGACACGGGGTGAGACACGAGGAGACACGGGGAGAGACACGGGGAGACACGGGGTGAGACACGGGGTGAGACATGGGGAGAGACACGGGGAGACACGGGGTGAGACACGGGGTGAGACACGGGGAGAGACACGGGGTGAGACACGGGGTGAGACACGTGGAGAGGCACAGGGTGAGACACGGGGAGATGACACGGGGTGAGACATGGGGTGAGACACGGGGAGATAGCAGGAGACACGGTGAGGCACGGGGTGAGACACGTGGAGACACGGGGTGAGACACGGGGTGAGACACGGGGTGAGACACGGGGAGATGACACGGGGAGACACGGGGTGAGACACGGGGTGAGACATGGGGAGACATGGGGTGAGACACGGGGAGAGACACGGGGTGAGACACGGGGTGAGACACGGGGAGATGACACGGGGTGAGACATGGGGAGACATGGGGAGACACGGGGAGAGACACGGGGAGACACGGGGTGAGACACGGGGTGAGACACGAGGAGACACGGGGAGAGACACGGGGAGACACGGGGTGAGACACGGGGTGAGACATGGGGAAACATGGGGTGAGACACGGGGTGAGACACGGGGTGAGACAGGGGGTGAGACACGGGGTGACACAGGGGGTGAGACACGGGGTGAGACACGGGGTGAGACACGGGGTGAGATAGGGGGTGAGACACGGGGTGAGATACGGGGTGAGACACGGGGTGAGACATGGGGTGAGACACGTGGAGACACGGGGTGAGACACGGGGAGATAGCAGGAGACACGGTGAGACACGGGGTGAGACACGTGGAGACACGGGGTGAGACACGGGGTGAGACACGGGGTGAGACACGGGGAGACACGGGGATATGACACGGGGAGACACGGGGTGAGACACGGGGTGAGACACGGGGTGAGACACGGGGAGATGACACGGGGAGACACGGGGTGAGACACGGGGAGACACGGGGAGAGACACGGGGTGAGACACGGAGAGAGACACGGGGTGAGACACGGGGTGAGACACGGGGAGATGACACGGGGAGATGACACGGGGGGAGACACGTGGAGAGGCACGGGGTGAGACACGGGGAGATGACACGGGGTGAGACACGGGGTGAAACACGGGGAGACACGGGGTGAGACACGGGGTGAGACATGGGGAGACATGGGGTGAGACACGGGGAGAGACACGGGGTGAGACACGGGGTGAGACACGGGGTGAGACACGGGGAGAGACACGGGGTGAGACATGGGGAGACATGGGGAGACATGGGGAGACACGGGGAGAGACACGGGGAGACACGGGGTGAGACACGGGGTGAGACACGAGGAGACACGGGGAGAGACACGGGGTGAGACAGGGGGAGACATGGGGAGACACGGGGTGAGACATGGGGAGACATGGGGAGACATGGGGAGACACGGGGAGAGACACGGGGAGACACGGGGTGAGACACGGGGTGAGACACGGCGGGGAGACCCGGGGAGACACGGGGTGAGACACGGGGTGAGACAGGGGGAGAGACACGGGGAGACACGGGGTGAGACACGGGGTGAGACACGGGGAGAGACACGGGGTGAGACACGGGGTGAGACACGTGGAGAGGCACAGGGTGAGACACGGGGAGATGACACGGGGTGAGACATGGGGTGAGACACGGGGAGATAGCAGGAGACACGGTGAGGCACGGGGTGAGACACGTGGAGACACGGGGTGAGACACGGGGTGAGACACGGGGTGAGACACGGGGAGATGACACGGGGAGACACGGGGTGAGACACGGGGTGAGACATGGGGAGACATGGGGTGAGACACGGGGAGAGACACGGGGTGAGACACGGGGTGAGACACGGGGAGATGACACGGGGTGAGACACGGGGTGAGACATGGGGAGACACGGGGAGAGACACGGGGAGACACGGGGTGAGACACGGGGTGAGACACGAGGAGACACGGGGAGAGACACGGGGAGACACGGGGTGAGACACGGGGTGAGACATGGGGAAACATGGGGTGAGACACGGGGAGAGACACGGGGTGAGACACGGGGTGAGACACGGGGTGAGACATGGGGTGAGACACGGGGTGAGACACGGGGTGAGACACGGGGTGAGACATGGGGTGAGACACGGGGTGAGACATGGGGTGAGACACGGGGTGAGACATGGGGTGAGACACGTGGAGACACGGGGTGAGACACGGGGAGATAGCAGGAGACACGGTGAGACACGGGGTGAGACACGTGGAGACACGGGGTGAGACACGGGGTGAGACACGGGGTGAGACACGGGGAGACACGGGGAGACACGGGGAGACACGGGGTGAGACACGGGGTGAGACACGGGGTGAGACACGGGGAGATGACACGGGGAGACACGGGGTGAGACACGGGGAGACACGGGGAGAGACACGGGGTGAGACACGGAGAGAGACACGGGGTGAGACACGGGGTGAGACACGGGGAGATGACACGGGGAGATGACACGGGGGGAGACACGGGGTGAGACACGGGGGGAGACACGGGGTGAGACACGGGGAGACACGGGGTGAGACACGGGGTGAGACACGGGGAGACACGGGGAGTCTGCTGTGGATTGATGATACTACTGATGATTATGATACTACTGATGATGATGATACTACTGATGATGATACTACTGGTGATGATGATACTACTGATGATGATGATACCACTGATGATGATACTACTGATGATGATGATACTACTGATGATGATACTACTGATGATGATACTACTACTGATGATGGTACTACTACTGATGATGATACTACTGATGATGATGATACTGCTGATGATGATACTACTGATGATGATGATGATACTACTACTGATGATGATACTACTGATGATGATACTACTGATGATGATGATACTACTGATGATAATGATGATACTACTGATGATAATGATAATACTACTGATGATAATGATGATACTACTGATGATGATGATACTACTGATGATGATTATGATACTACTGATGATGATGATACTACTGATGATGATGATACTACTGATGATGATGATACTACTGATGATGATGCTACTGATGATGATACTACTACTGATGACGATGATGATACTACTGATGACGATGATGATACTACTGATGATGATGATACTACTGATGATGATGATACTACTACTGATGATGATGATGATACTACTACTGATGATGATACTACTACTACTGATGATGATGATGATACTACTACTACTGATGATGATACTACTACTACTGATGATGATGATGATGATAATACTACTGACGATGATGATACTACTACTGATGATGATAGTACTACTGATGATTATGCTACTGATGATGATGATGATGCTACTGATGATGATGCTACTACTATTGATGATACTACTACTACTGATGATGATGATGATGATCATACTACTGATGATGATACTACTACTACTGATGATGATGATACTGATGATGATGATGACACTCACCCAAAGTGATAGCTCAGCTTCTTAGCAATGGCACAGTAACAGTAACAGATGACGATCTCGGGCAGCAGGAACGACAGGAGCGTCACAGAGAATGAAATGGAAGCGGTCCAGACGGCGACTTCGTGCTCGTCCGTCGTGGGGAATTGCATCTCGCAACTCCACGTTACTGTGGCCGGGTCCACGTCCCACTCGCCACCTGCCGGTGGGAGAGACACAGAGGTGGGTGGGGTGGTGGTGGTGGTGGTGGGTGGTGTGGTGGGTGGTGGTGGTGGTGGTGTGGGTGGGTGGTGGTGGTGTGGGTGGGTGGTGGTGTGGTGGGGTGGTGGGTGGGGTGGTGGGCGGGTGTGGTGGGTGGGTGATGGTGGTGTGGTGGGTGGTGGTGTAGTGGTGGTGGTGGGTGGTGGTGTGGTGGATGGGGTGGTGGGTGGGTGATGGTGGTGGTGGGTGGGTGGGGTGGTGGTGGGTGGGGTGTTGGGTGGGTGGGATGGTGGGTGGAGTGGTGGGTGGGTGAGTGTGGTGGGTGGAGTGGTGGGTGGGTGGAGAGATGGGAATGATACTAGTGATGATGATATGACCACCACAACCACCGCCACCGCAACCACCACAACCTCCACCACCACCACCTCCACCACCACCGCCTCAACCACCACCACTTCAACCACCATCATCACCACCATCACCACCATCACCGCAACCATCACCTCAACCATCACCACCACCACCTCAACCACCACCAACTCAACCACCATCATCACCACCACCACCTCAACCACCATCACCACCTCCACCATCAACAGCCTCTGTCATCATCACCACCTCAACCATATCTCAACCATCACCATCACCACCATCACCACCACCTCAACCACCATCACCACCTCAACCACCACCACCTCAACCACCATCACCACCACCTCAACCACCACCACCTCAACCACCATCACAACCACCACCACCATCACCACCACCTCAACCACCATCACCACCACCTCAACCACCACCACCTCAACCATCACCACCATCTCAACCACCATCACCACCTAAACCACCACCACCATCACCACCTCAACCACCATCACCACCACCTCAACCACCATCACCACCTAAACCACCATCACTATCACCACCTCAACCATCACCACCACCTCAACCACCATCACCACCACCTCAACCACCATCACCAACACGTCACCCACCATCACCACCACCTCAACCACCACCACCTCAACCACCATCATCACCTCAACCACCTTAACCACCATCACCACCTCAACCACCACCACCTCAACCACCATCATCACCTCAACCACGTTAACCACCATCACCACCTCAACCACCACCACCTCAACCACCATAACAACCTCAACCACCACCTCAACCACCACCTCAACCACCATCACCTCAACCACCATCACCACCACCTCAACCACCATCACCACCACCTCAACCACCACCATCACCACCTCAACCATCACCACCACCTCAACCATCACCACCTCAACCACCATCACCACCACCTCAACCACCATCACCTCAACCATCACCACCTCCACCACCATCACCACCACCTCAACCACCATCACCACCACCTCAACCACCACCACCTCAACCATCACCACGTCAACCATCACCACCACCTTAACCACCATCACCACCTCAACCACCATCACCTCAACCATCACCATCACCTCCACCATCAACAACCTCTATCATCATCATCATCACCACCTCAACCATATCTCAACCACCACCACCTCAACCACCACCACCACCTCAACCACCACCACCTCAACCACCATCACCACCATCACCACCACAACCACCATCACCACCACCTTAACCACCACCTTCTTAACCACCACCACCTCAACCACCATCACCACCACCTCAACCACCATCACCTCAACCACCATCACCACCACCTCAACCACCATCACCACCTCAACCACCACCACCTCAACCACCATCACCACCACCTCAACCACCATCACCACCACCTTAACCACCATCACCACCTCAACCACCATCACCTCAACCATCACCATCACCTCCACCATCAACAACCTCTATCATCATCATCATCACCACCTCAACCATATCTCAACCACCACCACCTCAACCACCACCACCACCACCTCAACCACCACCACCTCAACCACCATCACCACCATCACCACCACAACCACCATCACCACCACCTTAACCACCACCTTCTTAACCACCACCACCTCAACCACCATCACCACCACCTCAACCACCATCACCTCAACCACCATCACCACCACCTCAACCACCATCACCACCTCAACCACCACCACCTCAACCACCATCACCACCACCTCAACCACCATCACCTCAACCACCATCACCACCACCACCTCAACCACCACCACCTCAACCACCACCACCTCAACAACCATCACCACCTCAACCATCACCACCTCAACCACCACCTCAACAACCACCACCACCATCACCACCACCACCTACCTCCATCAACCGCTCCTCCATCGAACCCGTCCATCCCACCGCCACCGCCATGCTGATAATAATAGTGATGATGATGTTGTTGTTGGTGTTGACCATTCCCCGGCATCTCCAACCCATCAAAGTCACCACCACCACCTCAACCACCACCACCTCCACCATCAACAATCTCTATCATCATCATCACCACCTCAACCATATCTCAACCACCACCACCTCAACGACCACCAACACCTCAACCACCACCATCACCACCACCACAACCACCACCACCACCACCTACCTCCATCAACCGCTCCTCCATCGAACCCGTCCATCCCACCGCCACCGCCATGCTGATAATAATACTGATGATGTTGTTGATGTTGTTGACCATTCCCCGGCATCTCCAACCCATCAAAGTCACCACCACCACCACCTCAACCACCATCACCACCACCTCAACCACCATCACCTCAACCATCACTACCTCCACCACCATCACCTCAACCACCACCTCAACCACCACCACCTCAACCACCATCATCACCTCAACCACCTTAACCACCACCACCACCTCAACCACCATCATCACCTCAACCACCTCAACCACCACCACCACCTCAACCACCACCACCTCCACCATCAACAATTTCTATCATCATCATCACCACCTCAACCATATCTCAACCACCACCACCTCAACGACCACCAACACCTCAACCACCACCACCACCACCTCAACCACCACCACCACCACCACCACCTCAACCACCACCACTACCACCACCACCATCACCACCACCTCAACAACCACCACCACCACCTACCTCCATCAACCGCTCCTCCATCGAACCCGTCCATCCCACCGCCACCGCCATGCTGATAATAATACTGATGATGTTGTTGATGTTGTTGACCATTCCCCGGCATCTCCAACCCATCAAAGTCACCGCCACCGCCTCCACCGCCACCACCACCTCAACCACCACCACCTCCACCATCAACAATCTCTATCATCATCATCACCACCTCAACCATATCTCAACCACCACCACCAGCACCACCACCTCCACCACCACCACCACCTCAACCATCACCACCACCACCTCAACAACCACCACCACCTCAACAACCACCACCACCACCTACCTCCATCAACCGCTCCTCCATCGAACCCGTCCATCCCACCGCCACCGCCATGCTGATAATAATACTGATGATGATGTTGTTGTTGTTGAACATTCCCCGGCATCTCCAACCCATCAAAGTCACCACCGCCTCCACCGCCACCACCACCTCAACCACCACCACCTCCACCATCAACAATCTCTATCATCATCATCACCACCTCAACCATATCTCAACCACCACCACCAGCACCACCACCTCCACCACCACCACCACCACCTCAACCATCACCACCCCCACCACCACCATCACCACCACCTCAACAACCACCACCACCACCTACCTCCATCAACCGCTCCTCCATCGAACCCGTCCATCCCACCGCCACCGCCATGCTGATAATAATACTGATGATGATGTTGTTGTTGTTGAACATTCCCCGGCATCTCCAACCCATCAAAGTCACCACCACCACCACCACCACCTCAACCACCACCACCTCCACCATCAACAATTTCTATCATCATCATCACCACCTCAACCATATCTCAACCACCACCACCAGCACCACCACCTCCACCACCACCACCACCACCACCTCAACCATCACCACCACCTCAACCACCATCACCACCACCACCACCACCACCTACCTCCATCAACCGCTCCTCCATCGAACCCGTCCATCCCACCGCCACCGCCATGCTGATAATAATACTGATGATGTTGTTGCTGTTGTTGACCATTCCCCGGCATCTCCAACCCGTCAAAGTCACCACCGCCTCCACCGCCTCCACCACCGCCTCCGCCGCCACCGTGCGCCACCACGCCTCCCGCCACCCTAGCCACGGTGGTCCTCAGCAAAGCCGCGGGCAGCGACGCCAACAGCGCCAGCACCCACACCAGCACCGCGGACCGCGCCGCGTGCCTCCTGCTGCGCATGGCCGCCGAGGGCACGGCGTGCACCACGGCGATGTAGCGGTCGAAGCTCAGGCACGTGAGGCAGAAGACGCTGGCGTGCATGTTGACGTGGTTGACGAGGGCGCTGGCGCGGCAGAGGGCGCCGCCGAAGGGCCAGCGGTAGCGCATCGCCGTCGACGCGGCCCACAGGGGCAGCGTGGCGAGGAAGACGAGGTCGGCCGTCGCCAGGCTCACGATGTACACGTCGGCCACGCGGCGCGGAGCGTCGGCGGAGCGCCGCGGGGGCGGCGGCGGCGGAGGAGGAGGAGGAGGAGGAGGAGGAGGCGGTGGAGGAGGAGGAGGCGGTGGAGGCGGTGGGGGCGGTGGGAGGCGGGGGGAGGGGGCGGAGGGGCTGGCGGGGACGGTGGGAGATTCGCCGGTGGGAGATTCGCCAGTGGGAGATCCACTGGTTGGAGATCTGCCAGTGGGAGATTCACCGGTGTGAGATCCAGCAGTGGGAGATCCACCGGTGTGAGATCCACCGGTGGAAGATCCGCCAGTGGGAAATCCGCCGGTGGGAGATCCAGCAGTGGGAGATCCACCGGTGGGAAATCCGCCGATGTGAGATCCACCGGTGGGAGATCCGCCGGTGTGAGATCCGCCGGTGTGAGATCCGCCGGTGTGAGATTCACCGGCAGGGCCCGTGTGAGATCCGCCGGTGGGTCTCCCACGACCACCGCACCCAGCGCCGCCGCCAGACCCACCGGGGGCCCCTCCGCCGCCGCCGCCGCCAGGGCCGCTACGGCCGGGGCGGCGGCGGCGGCGGCGGCAGCAGCGCACGCCGCGGGCGGAGATCCAGAGCACGAGGCCGTTGCCGACGACGCCGGCGACGAAGATGATCATGTAGACGACAGGCACCACGGTGAGGCTGGGCTCCCACTCGCCCAGGTGGCACGCGGACGACGAGTTGGCGATGGCGGCGGCAGGCGGCGGCGGTGGCGGTGGCAGGGGGGTGAGGAGGTCGACCACGGAGGGGCCGAGGTCGCGGTACGGTGGAGGTGGTGGTGGTGGTGGGGAAGGCAGTTGGGGCGGCATGGCGGTGGTGGTGGTGGTGGTGGTGGTGGTGGTGAGGTGGTGGTGGTGAGGTGGTGGTGGTGAGGTGGTGGTGGTGAGGTGGTGGTGAGGGGGTGAGGTGGTGGTGGTGGTGAGGTGGTGGTGAGGTGGTGGTGGTGGTGGTGAGGTGGTGGTGGTGGTGGTGGTGGAGGTGGTGGTGGTGGCGGTGGAGATGGTGGTGGAGTCGGTGGTGGTGGAAGCGGTGTTGGTGGTGGCAGTGGTGGAAGCGGTGTTGGTGGTGGCGGTGGTGGAGGCGGTGGTGGAGGCGGTGGTGGTGATGTTGATGGATTAGGTGATGGTGTATATGTGTGTGTGTTGTTGTATATGTGTGTGTGTTGTTGTATATGTGTGTGTGTGTTGTTGTATACGTGTGTGTCTACGTGTCCACGCGAGTGTCTGTGTGTGTCTGTGTGTCTATGTGTGTCTACGTGTGTCTATGTGTCCACGTCTCTCTCTGTCAACGCCTGTCTGTGTGTACACGTGTGTGTCTGTGTGTACACGTGTGTGTCTGTGTACACGTGTGTTTTTGTGTGTACACGTGTGTCTATGTGTACACGTGTGTGTCTGTGTGTACACGTGTGTGTACACGTGTGTACCTGTGTGTACACGTGTCTGTGTGTACACGTGTGTCTCTGTGTGTCCACGTGTGTGTCTGTGTACACATGTGTACCTGTGTGTACACGTGTGTCTGTCTACACGTGTGTGGCTATGTGTACACGTGTGTGTACACGTGTGTAACTGTGTGTAAACGTGTGTACACGTGTATGTCTGTCTGTACACGTGTGTGTGTGTGTACACGTGTGTGTCTGTGTGTACACGTGTGTCTGTGTGTACACGTGTGTACCTATGTGTACCTGTGTGTACACGTGTGTGTCTGGGTGTACACGTGTATGTCTATGTGTACACGTGTGTCTGTGTCCACGTGTCTGTGTGTACACGTGTGTCTGTGTGTACACGTGTGTGTCTGTGTGTACACGTGTGTCTGTGTGTACACGTGTGTGTCTGTACACGTGTGTCTGTGTGTGTACACGTGTGTGTGTACACGTGTGTGTGTCTGTGTGTACACGTGTGTCTGTGTGTACACGTGTGTGTGTGTCTGTGTGTACACGTGTAATCACTCCACTCCCCACTCTCTCACGACAACTGAGTGACTCATTCCGCGTTGCTCCACTTTTTATTGGGACTCATTAGCATAGCCAGTGACGTCACATCGCTGGCATACAAACCACGCCCCCCTCGTTGAATATTCATGAGGCAGGGCTGTGACAGCGGCCGCAATCCGCCTCCTCACCACCACCTCACCACCCTCCTCACCCTCCTCACCACCCTCACCACCCTCACCACACCTGACGATGATGATGATTGCTGCTTTGTGTCGCAGTAGAAACGTCGTGAGAATTTTATTGTTTTATATTTTTATTATTTTATTGTTTTATTATTTTATATTATTATTTTATTGTTTTATATATTTTTTATTATTTTGTTTTATATTTTTATTATTTTATTGTTTTATATTTCTATTATTTTATTGGTTTATATTTTTCATTATTTTATTGTTTTATATTTTTATTATTTATTGGTTTATATTTTTATTATTTTATTGTTTTATATTTTTTATTATTTTATTGGTTTATATTTTTATTAGTTTATTGTTTTATAGTTTTATTATTTTATTGTTTTATATTTTTATTATTTTGTTTTATATTTTTATTATTTTATATTTGTATTATTTTATTGTTTTATATTTGTATCATTTTAGTGTTTTATATTTTTATTATTTTGTTTTATATATTTTATTATTTTATTGTTTTATATTTTTATTATTTTGTTTTATATTTTTATTATTTTACTGTTTTATATTTTTATTATTTTATTGGTTTATATTTTTATTATTTTATATTTTTATTATTTTATTGTTTTATATTTTTATTATTTTGTTTTATATTTTTATTATTTTACTGTTTTATATTTGTATTATTTTATTGTTTTATATTTTTATTATTTTATTGTTTTATATTTTTATTATTTTATATTTTTATTATTTTATTGTTTTATATTTTTATTATTTTATTGTTTCCCTTCTACGTGACTTTACCGAAAGAACCAAGAATAATAATTTTATTGTTTTATATTTTTATTATTTTATTGTTTCCCTTCTACGTGGTGGTGGCGACTTTACCGAAAGAACCAAGAATAATAATTTTATTGTTTTATATTTTTATTATTTTATTGTTTCCCTTCTACGTGGTGGTGACTTTACCGAAAGAACCAATAATAATTTTATTGTTTTATATTTTTATTATTTTATTGTTTCCCTTCTACGTGGTGGTGATTTTACCGAAAGAAACAAGAATACAAATTTTATTGTTTTATATTTTTATTATTGTATTGTTTCCCTTCTACGTGGTGGTGACTTTACCGAAAGAACCAAGAATAATAATTGTATTGTTTTGTATTTTTATTATTTTATTGTTTCCCTTCTACATGGTGACTTTACCGAAAGAACCAAGAATATGAATCCCTGCAGTCACGAAAGATTTAAATAAAAATTTAGCCTATACAGAACCTCCACTTGGGAACTCCTCCCCCTCCTCACATGGCCCCTCCCCATTTCGCGAAGACCACGCCCCCTTCACTACGAACCTCCCATTCTGGCCCAGGCCCCGCCCCGTCGGGCTCAGGCCCCGCCCCGTCGGACTGAGGCCCCGCCCCGTCGGGCACAGACTCCTCCCCCCACATTCAGCCCCCTCCTTAGTCCAGCCAAGGCCCCTCCCCCTGCAGTTAGCCCCTCCCTTTTTTAATCAAATGCACCTCCCCTTTATTCAGACTCCTCCCCTTCCAGCACAGGTCCCTCCCCCCCTTTTTTTTACCCCTCCCCTTCTATCACAGGCCCCTCCCCCCTCCACTTTTGTTTCAGGCCCCTCCCCCTTTATTCCTTGCCCCTCCTCTATCGGCCCAGACCCCTCCCCTTTCCTCCAGCCCCTCCCCTTCCGGCCCAGGCCCCTCCAGTTTATTCCGTGCCCCCCCCCCCCTTCATTCCGGCCCCTCCTCTTCCACATCAGGCTCCTCCCCCTCGCCAAGGGGCTCCTCCCCCTCGCCAGGGGGCTCCTCCCCCTCGGCGTCGGGGTCGGGGGGCAGGGTGGAGGTGACGTCACGGAGCAGCTGATCGACTTGCTCCTCACTGAGTCGCTCCTCACTCTCCTCCACCATCTACAACAACAACATCATCATCATCAACACCATCTACAACAACAACAACATCATCATCAACACCATCTACAACAACAACATCAACAACATCAACATAATCAACAACATCATCAACAACAACAACAACATCATCATCATCAACACCATCTACAACAACAACAACATCAACATCATCAACATCAACAACATCATCAACACCATCAACAACAACATCATCAACAACATCAACAACAACAACATCATCATCATCAACAACAACATCATCAACAACAACATCATCAACATCATCAACATCAACAACATCACCAACATAAGCAACAACATCAACAACATCATCATCAACAACAACATCATCAACAACAACATCATCATCAACAACAACATCATCAACATCATCAACAACAACATCAACAACATCACCAACATAAGCAACAACATCAACAACAACACCTACATCAACATCACCACCCTCACTCACCACTCACCAGCCGCACTCACCAGCCCCACTCACCACTCACCACCCTCACTCACCACTCACCACCCTCACTCACCACTTCCACTCACCACTCACCAGCACCACTCACCACTCACCACCCCCACTCACCACTCACCACTTCCACTCACCACTCACCAGCCACACTCACCACTCACCACCCCCACTCACCACTCACCAGCACCACTCACCACCCCCACTCACCACCCACACTCACCACTCACCAGCACCACTCACCAGCCACACTCACCACTCACCACTTCCACTCACCACCCACACTCACCACTCACCACCCCCACTCACCACTCACCACCCCCACTCACCACTCACCAGCACCACTCACCAGCCACACTCACCACCCTCACTCACCACTCACCAACCCCACTCACCACTCACCACCCCCACTCACCACTCACCACCCCCACTCACCACTCACCACCCCCACTCACCACCCCAACTCACCACCCTCACTCACCACCCCCACTCACCACTCACCAGCCCCACTCACCACTCACCACTCACCAGCCCCACTCACCACTCAGCTCACTCACCACTCACCACCCCTACTCACCACTCACCACCCCCAATCACCACTCACCACCCCAACTGACCAGCCCCACTCACCAGCCCCACTCACCACCCCAACTCACCAGCCCCACTCACCACTCACCACTCACCACCCCCACTCACCACTCACCACCCCCACTCACCACTCGCCACTCACCACCCCCACTCACCACCCCCACTCACCACTCACCACCCCCACTCACCACCCTCACTCACCACTCACCACTCACCAGCCCCACTCACCACTCACCATCCTCACTCACCACTCACCACCCCCACTCACCACTCACCACGCTCACCACTCACCACCCCCACTCACCACCCCCACTCACCAATCACCACTCACCAGCCCCACTCACCACTCACGACCCCCCACTCACCACTCACCACCCCCACTCACCACCCACCACTCACCACCCCCACTCACCACTCACGACCCCCCACTCACCACTCACCACCCCCACTCACCATTCACCACTCCCACTCACCACTCACCACCCCCACTCACCACTCACCAGCCCCACTCACCACCCCCACTCACCACTCACCACCCCCACTCACCACTCACCACCCCCACTCACCACTCACCACCCCCACTCACCACTCACCACCCCCACTCACCACTCACCACCCCCACTCACCACTCACCACCCCCACTCACCACTCACCACCCCCACTCACCACTCACCACTCACCACCCCCACTCACCACTCACCACCCCCACTCACCACCCTCACTCATCACTCACCAGCCCCACTCACCACTCACCAGCTGTATCTCCACCGCTGATGCTGGTCGATGGTTTAGGAGTTGAAGTTTCTCTGCCCTGAAACAAAAAAACGTCACTCAGCTCACCACTCAGCTCACCACTCAGCTCACCAATCAGCTCACTCACCACTCAGCTCACCAATCAGCTCAGCTCACCACTCAGCTCACTCACCACTCAGCTCACTCACCACTCAGCTCACCACTCAGCTCACTCACCACTCAGCTCACCACTCAGCTCACTCACCACTCACCACTCAGCTCACTCACCACTCAGCTCACTCACCACTCAGCTCACTCACCACTCAGCTCACCACTCAGCTCACTCACCACTCAGCTTACTCACCACTCAGCTCACCACTCAGCTCACTCACCACTCAGCTCACCACTCAGCTCACTCACCACTCAGCTCACTCACCACTCAGCTCACCACTCAGCTCACTCACCACTCAGCTCACTCACCACTCAGCTCACTCACCACTCAGCTCACCACTCAGCTCACCACTCAGCTCACCACTCAGCTCACCACTCAGCCCACTCACCACTCAGCTCACCAATCAGCTCAGAACTCAGCTCACTCACCACTCAGCTCACCACTCAGCTCACCAAACAGCTCACTCACCACTCAGCTCACCACTCAGCTCACCGCTCAGCTCACCACTCAACTCACTCAGCACTCAGCTCACCACTCAGCTCACTCACCACTCAGCTCACTCACCACTAAGCTCACCACTCAGCTCACCACTCAGCTCACTCACCACTCAGCTCACTCACCACTCAGCTCACTCACCACTAAGCTCACCACTCAGCTCACTCACCACTCAGCTCACTCACCACTCAGCTCACTCACCACTAAGCTCACCACTCAGCTCACCACTCAGCTCACTCACCACTCAACTCACTCACCACTCAGCTCACTCACCACTCAGCTTACTCACCACTCAGCTCACTCACCACTCAGCTCACCACTCAGCTCACCAGACAGCTCACTCACCACTCAACTCACTCACCACTCAGCTCACCACTCAGCTCACTAGACAGCTCACTCACCACTCAGCTCACCACTCAGCTCACCACTCAGCTCACCACTCAGCTCACTCACCACTCAGCTCACCACTCAGCTCACTCATACACTCAGCTCACTCACCACTCAGCTCACCACTCAGCTCACTCACCACTCAACTCACCACTCAACTCACCACTCAGCTCACCACTCAGATCACTCACCACTCAGCTCACTCACCACTCAGCTCACTCACCACTCAGCTCACTAATCAGCTCACTCACCATTCAACTCACCACTCAGCTCACTCACCACTCAACTCACCACTCAGCTCACTCACCACTCAGCTCACTCACCACTCAGCTCACCACTCAGCTCACTCACCACTCAACTCACCACTCAGCTCACTCACCACTCAGCTCACCACTCAGCTCACCACTCAGCTCACTCACCACTCAGCTCACCACTCAGCTCACTCACCACTCAGCTCACTCACCACTAAGCTCACTCACCACTCAGCTCACCACCCAGCTCACCACCCAGCTCACCACCCAGCTCACCACCCAGCTCACCACCCAGCTCACCACCCAGCTCACCACCCAGCTCACCACCCAGCTCACCACCCAGCTCACTCACCACTCAGCTCACTCACCACTCAGCTCACCACTCAGCTCACTCACCACTCAGCTCAGCACTCAGCTCAGCACTCAGCTCACCACTCACCTCACTCACCACTCAGCTCACTCACCACTCAGCTCACCACTCAGCTCACCACTCAGCTCACTCACCACTCACTCAGCTCACCACTCAGCTCACCAACAGCTCACTCACCACTCAACTCACTCACCACACAGCTCACCACTCAGCTCACCACTCAGCTCACTCACCACTCAGCTCACTCAACACCCAGCTCACCAATCAGCTCACTCACCACTCAGCTCACCAATCAGCTCACTCACCACTCAACTCACTCAACACCCAGCTCACCAATCAGCTCACTCACCACTCAGCTCACTCACCACTCAACTCACCACTCAGCTCAATCACCACTCAGCTCACCACTCAGCTCACCACTCACCACTCAGCTCACTCACCACTCAGCTCACTCACTGCTCAGCTCACCACTCAGCTCACCACTCACCATTCAGCTCACCACTCACCACTCAGCTCATTCACTACTCAACTAACTCACCAATCAGCTCACCACTCAGCTCACCAACAGCTCACTCACCACCCAGCTCACCACTCAGCTCACTCACCACTCAGCTCACCACTCAGCTCACTCACCACTCAGCTCACTCACCACTCAGCTCACTCACCAATCAGCTCACCACTCAGCTCACCAACAGCTCACTCACCACTCAGCTCACTCACCAATCAGCTCACCACTCACTCAGATGATGATGGTGACGATGTTGATGATGGTGACGGTGTTGATGTAGGTGATGGTGATGTTGGTGATGATGGTGATGTTGCTGTAGATGATGATGGTGATGATGGTGATGTTGCTGTAGATGATGATGGTGATGATGGTGATGTTGATGATGGTGATGATGGTGATGTTGGTGATGTTGATGTTGGTGATGATGGTGATGTTGCTGTAGATGATGATGGTGATGTTGCTGTAGATGATGATGGTGATGATGATGATGTACGTGATGTAGGGGATGATGATGTTGATGATGTTGGTGATGTTGTATATGATGGTGATGTTGATGATGGTGATGTTGGTGATGGTGATGTTGGTGATGGTGATGTAGGTGATGGTGATGTTGATGATGTAGGTGATGGTGATGTTGGTGATGTTGATGATGTTGATGTAGGTGATGGTGATGATGGTGATGATGTAGGTGATGGTGATGATGGTGATGTTGATGATGTTGATGTAGGTGATGTTGGTGATGTTGGTGATGGTGATGTAGGTGATGGTGATGATGTTGATGTAGGTGATGTTGATGTTGATGATGTAGGTGATGGTGATGTTGATGATGCAGGTGATGTTGATGATGTTGGTGATGTTGATGATGTTGGTGATGTTACTTTGCGAGCTGATGGGACATCATCTTCGTCAGAAACGATGTCACCACCTCCTCACTCTGCTGCTTGCATGGAGTCCCGGACAGATACTTCATCATCTACATCATCAACATCATCTACATCATCAACATCATCTACATCATCAACATCATCTACATCATCTACATCATAAACATCATCAACATCATCTACATCATCAACATCATCTACATCATCTACATCACCATCAACATCATTTAAATCATCAACATCATCACCATCAACATCATCACCAACAACATCATCACCAACAACATCATCATCACCAACATCATCATCACCAACATCACCATCAACATTAACATCATCTACATCTTCACCAACATCATCATCATCAACATCATCACCATCAACATCATCATCTACATCAACATCATCATCTACATCAACATAATCATCTACATCATCTACATCATCACCAACATCACCATCAACATTACCATCATCACCAACATCATCACCAACAACATCAACATCATAATCTACATCAACATCTACATCATCAACATCATCACCAACATCATCACCAACATCATCACCAACATCACCACCAACATCACCATCAACATTTACATCATCATCAACATCATCACCAACATCATCACCAACATCATCACCAACATCACCATCAACATTAACATCATCATCTACATCATCACCAACATCATCACCATCTACATCATCATCTACATCATCACCACCAACATCATCATCATCTACATCATCAACATCACCAACATCACCACCATCATCATCAACATCATCACCAACATCATCACCAACATCACCATCAACATTAACATAATCATCTACATCTTCACCAACATCATCAACATCATCACCATCATCACCAACATCATCTACATCATCACCACCATCATCATCACCAACATCATCAACATCACAAACATCACCACCATCAACATCTACATCATCATCACCATCATCACCATCAACATCATCACCAACATCATCAACATCAACATTAACATCATCGCCAACAACATTAACATCATCTACATCATCACCAACATCATCATCAACATCATCACCAACATCACCTCCATCAACATCTACATCATCACCAACAACATCATCTACATCATCAACATCACCATCAACATCACCATCAACATCATCGACAACATCATCATCTACATCATCTACATGGTCAAAATCACCATCACCCCATCACCACCCCATCACCTCCACCATCACCATCCCCACCACCATCACCCCATCACCCATCACCATCACCCCATCACCCATCACCATCACCCCATCCCCCCATCCCCATCACCCCATCACCATCACCCCATCACCACCCCATCACCATCATCCCCATCACCATCACCCCATCACCATCACCCTATCACCACCCCCATCACCCCATCACCATCACCCCATCACCATCACCCCATCACCATCACCCCATCACCATCACCACCCCCATCACCCCATCACCATCACCCCATCACCACCCCCATCACCCCATCACCATCACCCCATCACCATCACCCCATCATCACCCCATCACCATCACCCCATCACCCCATCCCCATCACCCCATCACCCCATCACCCCATCACCATCACCACCCCCATCACCCCATCACCATCACCCCATCACCATCACCCCATCACCATCATCCCCATCACCATCACCCCATCACCATCACCCTATCACCACCCCCATCACCCCATCACCATCACCCCATCACCATCACCCCATCACCATCACCACCCCCATCACCATCACCCCATCACCATCACCCTATCACCACCCCCATCACCCCATCACCATCACCCCATCACCATCACCCCATCACCCTATCACCACCCCCATCACCCCATCACCATCACCCCATCACCATCACCCCATCACCATCACCCCATCACCATCACCACCCCCATCACCATCACCCCATCACCATCACCCCATCACCACCCCCATCACCCCATCACCATCACCCCATCACCATCACCCCATCATCACCCCATCACCATCACCCCATCACCCCATCACCATCACCACCCCCATCACCCCATCACCATCACCCCATCACCATCACCCCATCACCCCATCACCATCACCCCATCACCCCATCACCACCCCCATCACCATCACCCCATCACCACATCCCCATCACCACCCCCATCACCCCATCACCACCCCCATCACCATCACCCCATCACCATCACCCCAATCACCACCCCCATCACCCCATCACCATCACCCCATCACCATCACCCCATCATCACCCCATCACCATCACCCCATCACCCCATCACCATCACCCACCCCCATCACCCCATCACCATCACCCCATCACCATCACCCCATCACCCCATCACCACCCCCATCACCATCACCCCCATCACCATCCCCATCACCCCATCATCCCCATCACCATCACCCCATCACCACCCCCATCACCATCACCCCATCACCCCATCACCATCACCCCATCCCCATCACCACCCCCATCACCATCACCCCATCACCACCCCCATCACCCCATCACCACCCCCATCACCATCACCCCATCCCCATCACCACCACCAT